CACAAATACTCCATGGAGTAGTTGCTATCATTGCCTTAATTTTATAGGGAGGAATTTTGGCAGGACTTAGTAACTAGCTCAAGGTCAAATACCTACTGATGGGCCAAAGTAATTATCTCCATTTTTTGTGTGTGTGTGAAGGTAAGATGCCTGTTAAAGAACCATTATTTTTTTCCTGGTGATTTGGATTAGTTACCTAATTTTGTGTTCCTCAGTTTTCTCACCTCTATAATGGGAATAATGAAACGTTGTTGAGGGGAAAATAATAGTATTTAGCTAAAATAATAATAGTAAGCTAGTGATACACGTAGCGCATTTAATCCATTGCATATTGTGAGAATTCACTAGATGTTCAGGGACACGATGCTGCTGCTGCTGACAACGATGATTCCTTTAGTTTTTGATTGATTTTAGCCACAGAACCCATGGCTGAGTTTGAGCTGCAACTATTCCTTGCATGCCCATGTTGTTTCAATATAGATGAGCGATTTGACCAAAATGTGAAACACCATGAGTCTTTCTTCCTTCCTTGGCTAATTGACCTATGCTTTTTTAAACAAAGATTTGTTTGTTATACTGTGTGCAAAACAATTTGCCCATATAAAATCTCATGTGATGCTCAAAATGACCCAGTGATATAATTGTTTTCGTTATCTTCCTCACTTTACCAATAAAAAGCAGAAGCTCAAAGTAGTTACGGGGTACGCTTCAAATGACAGAACATCAACTGGTGAAGATGCAGATCAGAGCCAGCTTTCGGACTCTGCCCATGAGCTTTTCAGTTCACCAGCCCATTTCAATTGTGGAAAATTCTCTAGTGCTCTGCTGTCCCTGGCTTCGTGTAACTTTTAATTTTAAACTATTTCTGGATGCTCATGCTTCCTTCTGGCTTTTAATGAATTTGTAATGTTATCTTATGAGAATGTTGATAACCTTTGGCCTCAGGCTCTGATGATTCTCTTTTTTTTTTTTTAAAGATTTTTTATTTATTTATCTGAGAGAGAATGGGAGACAGAGAGCTTAAGAGGGGGAGGATCAGAGGGAGAAGCAGACTCCCCGCTGAGCAGGGAGTCCGATGCGGGACTCGATCCCGGGACTCCAGGATCATAACCTGAGCCGAAGGCAGTTGCTTAACCAACTGAGCCACCCAGGCGCCCCAGGCTCTGATGATTCTTGACAACCTCTTATTTTCTTTCCCCTGTAAAAATTATTCTATCATCACAGGATGTCTGGAAATTTAAAAAAAAAAAAAAAGATCCACAATACCCACTCTTTATCATCAGTTTTCCTTTCCTTTCTTTCCTCTTTCCCTCCAATTTATTCCGCAAACATTTATTGTTAAACAGGTATGGATAGCATCTGACATGCTAGGCTATGTTAGTTGCTGAGAATAAAAAGAAACATTAATTGAATTTCTAAACCTGCTCTGATCTTCCTACTTCCTTTCTATCTCATTTCCATTATAGGGCTGATTTTTCTCTTTGAATTATTTGAATTGCATTGCTGAAACACTTTGCTAATCCAATCTAATACAAAACAACTTTTTACACATATAATTTGCACAGTAATTTTTTCTACCTATGTATCTTAATTAGTGAGCACATTCATATGCACACGGTTTACATTGCCTTCCCACTTTTTTTTGCATGGGAATCCTTATTTAATCTTCTCAAGTGGACTTACATACTCTCTAATCTACTGAATCAAAATCAACAATCTCTTTTTAACTAGGTCTCGAGGTCCACACTTCACCTTTATTCTGTTTAATTTCATTAAAAACTAAGTCCATCTATTTCTCAAGACTCTATGAATGACTAGCAATTTAATGCCAAAATGGAACCATGGAAGTAAATGTTGCATCCCTATATCCACACCAAAGTCAATCTGGAGTTGGACTTCTTTCCAAACTTGTTTGGTTTAAGTTGTGGACATAAGGGGTTATCATTCACATGGGGGAAGAAAGTACAACAGTCATACCAATTCCTTCAAATCTGGGGGTTTTTACTTTTCTCTCATCCTCTTTAAATTCATATGTACAATTACTGACATTTCTCTATTTTCATCATAAAATTCTCTGATCCAGATCTAGGCCAACTCTTTGGAAATTTGTTGTTCTGTAATGATTTCTACAGAAAGATTCTTATTGTAAGATCATACAGTAATTCATTCATTCTCCAAGAAGAAACAAGATCAAAACAAAAGATTAATTTAAAATGTCCCAAATGTAGACTTATTTAAAGCCTACAAGACCCAATCCTCTGTGAGTGAGATTAAAGCATGCCTATAGTCTTTATAGTGAGGTGTATGGTATGGGCAGGTTTAAGTGTGATCAGAAAATCCTCCTTTTAAATTATAAGATCCTTAAGAAAAAAATAAAATGATGTATTCTCTTTTGCTGGGCTCTCTGGTAACCATGCAGTCAGTTATATAGGCTACTGTTTTCCTGCATTGATTCCTCATTCCAATAATGTACAGGATGGAGACACAGAAAGTGTTGAATAGTGCATCTTTTAAGTGTAATAACATCAGGGAATTCAATCTGGTTCATAAAAATGGGGAAAAAAAGGATCATGACACACATTCTAAGAAATGGCGTGCAGTAGAAATGACATATATTAGTTTTATGAGAAAGGTTCTTGCCTTGGAAAGGGCAGTGTTCAACATGCATGGCAACATACACTGTCATACATGAAGTATGATACAGCTTAAGCAGCCAACTCTCTCATTTTACACTGCGCTGGTCAGACATTTATTTACATACTGTAAGAAATTCTATATTCTACAACTAAAGGACTTTGTAGAAGGCTCAGAGTAGATATATGAACCAATTAAAGGATTGGAAATAAGCTGTACAAGGGAAGATGAAAGGAACTGACTTTATTTGGCCCACAAATGTACACTTATGTTTTCTTATGTCCATTTAGGTTTTCCATATTTCCACTGAGGAAAAACCCATGAAACTGGAAATAGGCTATAGCAATAGAGCTGTAGGTTAGATAAAAGAAGGAAGGTCAGGGTACATGAGATCCTTAAACCGATTCTGATGTGAGGTAGTAAAATCTCTGAACTTTACTGGTTGGGACAGATTGGTTATGATACCATTTGAATACGAGGATATCAATCAGACAAACTCCTTTCTAGCCCTACATTTTTAAGAAACATCAGTTTAAAATCAATATAATTATTAGCACATGGATCGATTTTCTTGGCATAAACATAAAATATAACAAAACAGTCACCAATGAGTTACTCCATTGAAGTGTTTGTTGAAGGCGTAAGAAAACTTTTACATTTGAGGATATTTCATTATTTAGGTGAATTTGGTTCTTTTTTTAAAATCATGATTTTTTTTTTCCCATATTGTACATGCATGGCAGCTTTGAGCCTTTCTTATTTTTTAAAGAGGTACTACAATTATATGACTGAAAGTAGCCCTCTACTGGATATAGTCATACTTCATTCTGCATAATTATTATCTGAGAGCAAGCTGATGTAGTATAAAGATCTCTGAATTATGAAGTGGCGTTCCACTGTCATCTCTTCTACTAGCTAGCAGTGTGCCCTTGGACAGGTCATTTTTGAATGTCATTCCTCAGCCCTCTGTGGCAACCTCAGGACGGTGTTTGAAGAATTGATCTCTTATGTTCTTTCCTTCCTTGAAACTCTTTTCAGGGATTTTATTAAATCATAATTCAGATAAGTCAGTATTTTATTTTTCACATGCTGAACAATAGTTTTTTAAATCATATTTAAAAGTTTTAACACAAATTGTTAGTGAACAGTTAAAATATTATCAAGATAACTTATTCTAGCATAGAATCTAATAGTAAGCTAGCTAGTACAACAAATGGTCACCTTGTACTGTGTAAAAGTTTAGAATTAAAACACTTGATTTCTTATGATCCAACTGTCAAACAACTTTCATCTTTCATTTATTGTATTTTGTGTTCATCTAATTGATTTGGAAATATACATGAATATCTATTCCCTTCACATACCATTCCACATCATTTCTATAAAATAATCATTTTCATTTTTAAGTCTTCAGAAATATAAATGCAATAGGATGTTATGCATTATAAGTCCATTTTATTTCAGTCATTGCTAGATTTCTTTCTTCATATATTGCACGTTTAGACATTTAAGATACCTTAAAGAGATTATAGTCCAGTGGAAACCTAATTTTATGATTGTATGAATTATGAATACATGATTGGTTTTTCATGTGATTGCAGTGATTTCCAGCTGCCTTAAAATAATAATAATGAATGTCGCTGTCATTGAGATTGACTTCAATTCTTCAAAAATGTTCACAAATATGACCTGAGCAGGGAATCCAGGAAAGTTAATACAAACTAAATCCAATTCTAATATTTAAATTTTTGAGAGTCAGATTAAATACTATTTAGGATAGAAATAATTTTTGAAGTTTCATGTGTTTACCTTTTTTTTAATGAAACCTTTAAGTTGTACATTAGCAGCCTGCACTGTGGTTGAAACTGGTTTGGGGAAATACAGAGGAGTCCAATCTTCATACTCTACGTGACACATAGAATATTCTTTGGAGATTCATTATTAAGAAAAGTCACTCTGGTGTTATCTACCCTCCCTGTTCGCAAAGGAAGGGGAGATCAAAAGAAATCATTTACACCTCACACTTAAGTGTGAGAATATGTATTTGTTTTGTACTATGCCATGGAATAGGAAACCTGGTCTTATTCATAAAAAAGTTAAGATAAAAAGGGATTAAAATAAAATCTTAGTTTATGGAGGAAAAGAGTAAAATCTCTCTGGAGCCTATTTTAGAATTGACATTGTGCTAAAACAATTTGACTCGCAGTTTTCTCCTCCCTAAACATTTTCCACTTCTAAATTTCATAGCTTAGCTCCCAAACGTAGGAAACCACCACTCCGGGCATGATGCTAACATTTCTGTCAAACTTTCTGCCTCTTCAAAGACCGCCTCAAAATATAAAGACAGAGAGTCCACAGCGTCTTACCTAGACAACGAGCAGCTGAAACGCCCAGGCATGACATTGTTCAACACTCAGGCTAGGAAAGAAGTCCGTCCCCGTGAGTTCCTCCAAAATATAAGTTCACATTTCGTGGTTGAGATCATGGCTCTATTCTAAGCAGTTTCACGCAGAGTGTGATTCTCACAAAAACACCCTCTGCAGCTGGAGGGAGCCTTGGCTAAAGCAGGAGTCTGTCGAGGCGTTCCTAGTGACTTCTGTCCACTCAATTCAGACTGATGTCTTGCGAAAGGGGCCTCCACAAGCAGGCCCAGATTGCCTGGGAAGCATTTCCTGCCTCTGAGGAGTGCATGTGAGAAAGAGTGCACGAAGCAGAGGGAGGGGGGCAGAGCAGAGCCCGCCTGGGCGATGTAGGAGTTCTGATTTTACACAGAACTGAAGTGAGTTTGTCAAAGCTCTTGAGGTGATTAGCTGGAGAGTCATAAAATCGTAGAGCTTTCTCTATCCCACACTGCTGGTGAATTAAAAAAGAAAAGAAAAGAAAAGCAAGGAAGGAAAACAGTTTTCTCTCTCCTCTACAGCTTTCCCACTATATTAAATGTATATGCACAACTTCTTCAAAATACCTTTGCCGTTCTCCTTGCAAAAGATCTCTCGTGAGAGCAGGATCGATTCAGAGTTTTAAAACTGTCATCCCCTAAATAGGAAAACTTTTTTTGTTGTTGTTGTTTTTACACTACTTACAATTTAAAATGCTGCCCCCCTACATCCTGTACCTGAGAGGATCTGTGAGTAAAATCCCAAGAAGCCAGTAAATAGAACATGGTCTTCCAATCTCTCCCATCCCAGGACTCCTTCAGGGAATGAAAGCAGTTCCTGTCATGGCACTTGCAGCGTTACCTCCAGTCAGAATCCTCCAGGCACACAAATGCAGTGCGGGGAAAGCTGAAGACAGACTCCATCTTGATCCTATTACAGTCTTGCTGACATTAACCACTTGCAACGTCTTCCATCCAGCATGACAGAGTCCCTGAATCACATCTCCAAAGCAGCTCACGGTATCTGCCTCCTTTGTCCGACACAAATTTTGTGAACTATCATCTGTTTATCTTTTCTGCTTTCTTGTGCCTCCACTGAATGACTTCCTCCTAGCTGCTCCAGGCTGGGAACTTGGACTACCATTTGGTTTTGATTAAAACCAGACAGCCAACTCTGGAGAATTTAGGGAATAAGCTAATGGAAACTGCAAGTATGGCTTTAATTAGTGCATCAATTAATAATAGATGTTAGCTCGTCTTATAATAAGATGACACAAATATCAACACAGAGGAAGCTCAAGTCCTTTCAGGAAAGAAGTTACACCAATTCTCATTCCTTTATGACCCAGAATTCTCCTTAGGGAAAGGGGAAGGAAAGAAGAGGGATGTGGCCTTGGGACATCCAGGTTGTGGGGAGGCCAGTGGAGCAGCTTTGTTGTTTATACCAGAGAAAGAGGAAACAGTATCTCTGAGTTTAATTATCTTGCTTGGGTGAAATTGCTCTGTAATGTCTCCCTTCTACTTTATTTATAATCAATGGATTCTCTTGCTATTTATGACTTAAGCATTTTTTTTTCCTGTGACTGCTGATTAGATTAATCTGATTATTGGGTCTATGTGCAGCTTACAAATTCCTAGGGATTTCCCATAATCAGAGTTACAAGAACAATTCTAATTCCAATATGATAAATGAGTAACTTATAGAGAGCTACAAGAAATATTAAACGCTTTAGCCCTAAAATCCACTCTGTACGTCTCTGACATTGTAAGTAGTTTGCATTGTTCATTTTTTTTTTCAGTTGGTTCTTTTTATAAAGACCTGACAGATACCTGGATATCACAATGGCCATCTTTTTAGTATCCCCAGAGAATACTGGGTAGGTGGTAACTCAAAGAAGTATGATGTGATAACTACTATTTCTTTTCTCATTGGATAACTAAAATCTCTCAAAATTAATGCAAAGCATGGACTACGAGAGAAATAGGAAACGGCAAGATTAACATATCACATGTGAATTTGAAGACGAGAAGCATTCAAACCCAGACAGGTGGGCAGAAGCAAGTTTTAAAAGTTTCTATCAAAACATTACTGACTAAAAAATGAGCACTTAGATTCCTTTCATTTAAGCTTCAACCATATGGCAAGAGGGAAGTCCATACTCTCCTAAATCACTTAAAGAGCTATCTTCATATTGATTGAAAATACTTCCACTGAAACCATGCCCATATAATCTTCCCAGTAATCTTTGCGTGTGCTCTTATTTTTATTTTAAAAATAAAGCACTAGATGTTTGTGGAATTATTTTTCTCACAATCACATGATGGAAAGTGACCAGGTCCATACCAGAACTCAGATTTTCTAACTCTCGATTTTGTGTCTTTTCCCCCTCCCTCTGAGAGCTCGACTGCCTCTCTTGACTCATACTTAATTGTTGTGTGAAATTGGGAAGACTTTGTAAACTTTCTGAGTTTCAGATTCCCCTTTAAAAATAGGGACAACTCCACATAACTCACAGATTGGAACGCAGGACTAGCTTTATATACACATATATTTATAAATTTATATTTATTTCCTTCGGAAAACACTGGAGCAGAACGGAATGAGAATTGATGTAAGTTCTTTCCTAAAATAACTTGTTTATCTCTATCTCTGCTCCTAGTCCTCTGGTCTTCTAGTAGATAGTAGGCGCTCAATAAATATTAGCTCGCTACTAATTCTCCTTAGCTAGTTTCTCCTCATGAGTAGTATAATCGCTCCTCATACAATCTAGCCTTGTTCCTGTTTATATTGGCCTGAGGTAACAACAAAACCCTATTCGCATGCATTTATGAATGCCTTTATAGATATCTAGACACTCTTAAATACTAATTTTCTCCTTAATGTTCTCGTCTCTAAACAAGTAAGACTTCATGCTTTATTCTATTATTAGAAGGATTACTTCCCAAATCTTTAATCACTCTTATTTATTTTTCATCCTTCAGTTGCCTGACTCCAAACAAATCTCAGAACTTATATTCTCATAAGGGCTTTACCAAATATGAGTATGAAGATAAATGAGATAACTTCTTAATATTTAACATGGTGTCAGGCACATAGAAGGGGTCCAAAGTATGTGTCCTCTTCTCCTTTCTGCATGTTAATCTAAATACATCACTTCCTTAAATGTTTGCTTCTTACTCTATGCTAGATAAACTAATAAACTATGGTATAGAGGCAGTTAGGAAGTTGAAAGTAGAGTATCAGGATAGGAGTCTGGCTCCCAAACTAATAACCTCGATGACCCCATGCAAGTTACTTAAGCTATGTAAGCCTCAGTTTTAGCCTCTGGATCTAAGGATTTTTCAAAATTAGAGATGATAGTCCATGTAGAGCCATTAGACATTATGGCTGGTGCAGTATTTATTTTTAACTAGAATTTTTTTTTACTATTTAAATTATCACGCTTTCTCATCCTTACATTGCTCTTCTGTGATAATTAAAAAAAAATCTATCGATCTTTTGAACTCTGCGTTAAATGTATGCACTTGGAACAGTTTTATTGGTGGAGAAATTATCTACTTTTTGTTTTTAATAAGAAAGGAAAATAGCAGACTAAGGCTTAGAAGTTATTGTGAAGAACAACTTTCTTCCCAGGTACTATGATGTAAATAATGCACATCAGCTGTGACAGACTGGCCAATTCCCAGTCGTCTTCAGGAAATCTGTCCCTGGATTTCTTCTACAGGATGGCTTGAGGACTCTCATGCAGTCCAACAACCCCTCGGCTGTGCAAAGGGAGATTTATTCTGTGGAAAGAATGTTGTACTCTTTGTAATTGAGCAGCAGACATCATTAGTTCAGCACCCACATTTAACATTTGTGATATTGTGAGTGTAAGTAGGCTTTGATTCTTTCCATTTGTAGGAAGGAATAGCATCATTAGAATGATAAACTTGTAGTTAATACACATATAGAGAGAATGGGTGTCTTTACAGCACTCCAGAAGGACCCACACGTGTACATTTAGTATAATAAATGTAGGAGCATTTTGCCTATGAAAATTAATCCTCTAAACATCTGTATTTATTTGCCTGCAGCTTATTGGAGTTACCACATGTACGTCAAAGTAGTAAAAATATATTTGACTGGATAAAATAAATATATTTGACAGGATTTCTAGTTAATTTTTTAAGTATTTTTTACGTGTACTTTCTGCAGATAGGCTCATTTTGATAGACATACAACTGCTTAGAAAAAAATACAATTTTGCAGTTTGCATATAATACTATGTACGTACATTATTAGTTTTTTTGAATCAACTTTGTCAAACTTCTGACACTCCACTTTCACTAAACACATAGTATTCATCCAAAAGTGTTTATTAAAGGAACACAATTAAGTTTGATGATCAACTAATAAAAGGATCAAAGTCATATAAATTCTCCAAAACTAACTGTACCTGTTTCTTGGGTTATTCTCTTCATTGCTTCCCTTTGTTGAAAATTATTACAACCCAAGAATAACTATAAAGTATCTTGATAAATTTCAAATAGCTTGGAAAACAATCTTAGCAAGTACTAAAAATTATAATTGGCACAAGCACAATAGTATATATGGTTTTGGAAATGGATAATTCTCCCTGCCTGTCCAGCAGGGCCAGGATGCTCTCAGAAACATGAAGATTCCAAGCCATGCCTGACTTGTTTTAGCCAGTAGAGGCTGAGGTTCTATGCCGCACAAAGAATTTGTTCTCTATGAAAACTTAATATCACCATGCAGGACATTTCAGTATTCTTGCTAAGCATTATGTTAACATTCTCCAAAATTCTCATTTCATGGCTAAAAATGTCCCTGTAACTTCAGTCTATTAAAGAAAAATGTTCCCTCTTCATCTTTGGCCTAGAGCTCACACTCTCTAGCTTCTCCCACAGTGCTCTCAAGTGAGGCCACACATTACCTTTTATATGCTCTGTTCACCTGGGAAAGAGGTGAAATTGCCTGTGTCCAGGTTCCTTCTCCTCAATAAAATATGATCCACGCGGCGCCTGGGTGGCTCAGTCGTTAAGCGTCTGCCTTCGGCTCAGGTCATGACCCCAGAGTCCTGGGATCGAGCCCCGCATCGGGCTCCCTGCTCCGCGGGAAGCCTGCTTCTCCCCCACCCACTCCCCCTGCTTGTGTTCCCTCTCTCGCTGTGTCTCTCTCTGTCAAATAAATAAATAAAATCTTTAAAAAAAAATATGAGCCAGTTAAATCTCTGTCCTTTGAGAGCCATTCGACCTCACTGTTTGTCCCATAGACTATTCTAGAGTACAGGCCACATTCTCAGCCCACCAGTGTGGGGAGGTGGGGAGGTCATGAAGTTGTTACAAAGGCTTGTGTCCTTGAAGGAGTATCTGGTCCATTTCTATTAAAATATAAATATACTTTTTATGTTTTTCCCCTTAAAAGAACCATTTGAGAGCTTCAGTATACACAAAAAGGAAATATACTTAATATCCATCCACACATTCTATATTTACTTGCATTTATTGTATTCATGGTACTGTTCTGTACTTGGGATACATCATTAAAAACAACCAGAACAATGAGCGCTGTGAATTGTGTAAGACTGTTGAATCACAGACCTGTACCTCTGAAACAAATAATACATTATATGTTAAAAAAAAAAAAAAAAAAAGAAGACAGTAGGAAGGGAAAAATGAAGAGGGGGAATCGGAGGAGGAGATGAACCATGAGAGACTATGGGACCTGAGAAACAAACTGAGGGTTCTAGAGGGGAGAGGGGTGGGGGGATGGGTTAGCCTGGTGATGGGTATTAAAGAGGGCACGTACTGAATGGAGCACTGGGTGTTATGCACAAACAATGAATCATGGAACACTACATCAAAAACTAATGATGTAATGTATGGTGATTAGCATAACATAATAAAACAAAACAAAAACAACCAGACCAAAAAAATAAATAAAAAAAAGAACTTTGCCCTCAAGGAGCTTAAATGGGAGGTAGGAGGTCGGTGATGAACAATAAACATAATAAATAAGTTATCTAGTATATGGATAATTACTAGGGAGAGCAGAAAATGTAGAGGGTGATAAAGAATATGGGGAGTGAGGGTTGAGGGATAATTGTGTTACAGAATTAAATAAGAGATATCAGGGTAGGTCTCACTGAGGGACTTTTTTAGTAAAGATTTTTAAAAGATGAGGGAGATGCCTACACAGGTGTCTGGGGGTCACAGAATTTCAGGCAGAGTAGACAGGTCCTAAGGAAGAGTGTGCCTTGCCATTTCCAAAAATAGCAAGGGGGATCAATGTGGCTGGAATGGAAGGAGAA